TTCCCCAGGCACCTCTGCTGCGTACGCGCCTTTTCCAGTCTCATACATCAAGTCCTACTAGTGCTCCCTCAACTTAATCACTTCACCGCAGACACGGTCTACCTCTACGCTTTCTTCCTCCAACTACTGCTTTAAACCCCTTTTTCGCTGGAGCATCTTTGTCCATTCTCTCGATATGACCAAGCCAGTGAAACCGCTAGATGTTAATTCGCTGAATTATATTAATGTCGTGATAAAGGTCGTGGTTCTTTCGTATGCGGGACTCGTCGCCAACTCTTAAAGAACCAAAGATCTTACGAAAAACTTTTCTCTCGAAGATCTTATCCTTCTCTCGAAGGATAAGCGACCTATAGAGCGTAAGTTTCGTTTCTTAAGAGAGAGCTCTATATCCCAATTGCCTACTGAGCCCATTGTAGCACCAAGGTGAATGAAATCGTTGACAAATTCGAAAGTATAGTCGCCAGTCATTAGATCGGCATCTGAGCGACGCACATTTCTAATAGTAGCCGATATATGCTTCGTTTTGCCCTCATTCACCACTGAGTCCATTCCAATGGATTCCTTTTCGATAGCAGTAAAGGCAGCTGTAACATCAAGCTTGCTATGTCCACTGATGTCAATGTAGTCGACGTAAGCAAGGAGCTCCACACATTTATGAAATATTGTTCCATTACGTTGCATTACATTACACCTGCCCTGCGCATGATAACTTTCATAACGAAATTGAAAAGATCACAAATAAATGATCATCTTGTCTGAAGCCTCGTACGGTATTAAAAGGTTCCACGGATATTACTCAACGTCATTCTGCAGAGTCATATTAACTTTGCCGGGATACCGAACTCAGAGATTACAGTCGAAATCTCGATAACTTGTCGATGGGGCTATCGAAAGCTGCTTAATAATCGACAAAAGGTGGTGTGTGTCGATGTTAGTGTCCGTAGACTTTTCAAAGCAAGCCAATGAATTTCAGTGTACTGAGACAATTAGTTAAATAAGCGTTTGAATTCGTTATAAATATGTGAATACTAATTATATATTTAAATATAGAATAAATATTAACATTTTTACTTGAAAGTTTTTACGTAAAAAATTTTTTTAAGAAAATTGCCAATAAATTTTGATAAAGAACAACATTTTGAATTTATATTTTTCACGCAACTGTCAGTCCAAACTTTTTTATATAATTACATAAAATTATGCAAATCAATTATTTATTTATAAAAAAAACATAAAGTGTATTAATAAAAAAGTAAGGACTGTTATAGTGAGATAATAATAAAACTCAAAACATTTTGACTTTAACAATATATACACATAGATTCACTTAAAATATACTTATATTAAAATATAATCATTTATTTCATTCTGTAACATAATTTTACATCGTTTAAGTCAATCATTCGGTTCAAAAGTTCAATGGCAAATCAAGGTAAATTAAGGACTTATAAGTTTTAATATTGAACCACTAACAGCTGATATTAAATATCTCACTTAAAGGCGGTAACTTAAAGAAAATCATCTGCATTGTAACAAGTCAACTTCTCCGTAGAGCAACCAAAGCGATACCATCAAGGGCCGCATTGATCAACACTTGAGATCTTTGAGTTTTATTAAGTACATATAAATATGCTTAAACGACTTTTATTTTAAAGAGCTTAAGCTCATTTTTAAAGGCACGAAATACATAAACTCCAGCATTAAAAGAAATAAATTGAAAAAAAAAAATTAAATGGAAGAAAATTTGGCTTTTAACAAATTAGAGGTAATCACAATTGATCGTGACAACTTCGTATGGATGCTTAAACGTGCAATCTATCATCACGCTTTTAAAAAATTAAATAAAATATGATAACAAAAAAAATTTAATATTGATGTTAATAAAGTCGATTAAGATATGCTACCCAACAGAATTATTAAGGCTTTACGTTATAAAAAGGATCAGTAAACCAGTAAACAGATAAATGCATACAATTAAGCTAACAAACGTTTAAGGTAGACAAACAATATAACAATTCTCTATATATTTCTACATATGTAATAAAGTTACTATTTATCTATTTAGCATGAAGTCCTTAAAAATCATGTGTGCAAATTATAGGTATCTGCCTATTTATAGGTTTATAAATCAAAGGAACGGCTTGCCTGCTGGGTTACTTTATTATTTTAAGCTATAAAATTAAGCAACTAAATATCTACGCCGTCATATATGTTTAGCAATAAATTAATTTTAATTATAATTACTCTTAATTTTTATTTAACTAATAAAACCTTTACTATGCACTCTCGGGATATACCACTATGCCATGGTGATGGGTTGAGTAGATGTAATGAATCTGAAAGTAGTGCCGATGCGAAGTATGACAGAATTAAAATTAGCCCAATAATAACGTTTTATATTTTAAATCTTTATATTTTCCTTAAATACAGTTCTTGAGATTGGCTTTCTACTGCATGTAGTTTGCATCATGTCTCTTGTATTTTTTCGGCCTATAAAAACCTTCTCAAATTTAGCCTCAATTGTGAACAATTTTTCAATTTTTTAGAATATCTCAAAAATTATAATAGGTGGAATAACAAATTCAGGGAACTAAATATTTGTACTGCATAACCAAGGTCAATATGCTTTCATAAAAAACTACCCACTTCAAGTCCATATGGTCTCGCATACAAATTCGTGCGTGACTCCTATATGGATGTGTACCGTTTAGCAAAGCCTGAAACACTACTATACACCAGCTAGAAATTGCACAAAACCAGGCTCTGAGAAGACTTTTCAAGGTACCATGTTAGATTAAGTCGAATGACATCCTCAGGAACCTCAAGATTGATCCGATCAAAAAATTAGTAACGAAAACTGACAGACTTACCAACACCGCTTTATCGAATCTCAAAACGATTACAGGCTACAAGGCGTAAAAAGGGGTTTTGAAAATACCTCGCAGTTAATAGAGAGTAAAAATGCTCAAGTGCACTAGCTCAACTAGCTTCAAAATAATATATATAAAAAACAAGTTTATTTAAAAAACCGGGATGATCTTCTTCTTAGGATTTAAGTTATTGATAATTCCAGCAACGAAATCATGCAAATCGGTTGAAAAGCAACGAATTTATTGCACTAGACCTATTCACCTAGATTTGCAACAAACCGATCTCCTTATATATGTATCAAGAAGTAAGATTAAAAGCTTTAGCTATGCTGACTTAAACACAACTGTAAAAAATCTTATCCAAAAAATTTAAGCAAATCCCTAAATAACATTTTCTACGTTATATCTCCCGAATCCATCCAAGGAAATTCACATGTTGTTTTTAGTGTGGGTTCTTGACTTTATTCAATATTTAATATAACTAAAAAAATCCCTGTCGCTGCTGCTGCTACTATTGATCCAAATAACGATAGTAACTGTATAGCTATATATATAGCTAGTCACAATTTAGCTCCAAAAAAATGAAGAAGTATTTAAATTAAGCTTTTCTTCGCAAACGTAGAGAGAAAATATGAAAATGTTTTAAGACTGAAAATCTTTTTAATATATTCCATTTTTTTTAAATATTTAGAATATTTTACAACCATTTAACAGTTATCATTAAGGTGGTACTGATATGTGACTGGCAGTATGTCTTCAGTAACTGAAATGGTTCTACACATGATTCCCGAAATAATGTATGTTGCAATGAAAATCTGACAGTACATACTATCCACGTTTTAAGACAAAAAAAGCATTTCATAACATTCTAATAGATGTACAGAATGCCTTTAGTGCATACCACTTGAATATTGGCCTCACTGGCTAGTTACTGCAAAGCATAGCAGTAAACCCAAAGCAGACGGTTTTACTTATAAAAAAATTTATATTAATTAACTATGTTGAGGCTAGTTGAGTCAGTGCACTGGAGCACTTTCGCTCTCTATTAACTGCGAGGTTTCTTCATAACCCTTCTCTATGCCTTATCTGAATTATTGTTTATCACTTCATCAGACTAAGCAATAACGATCCTCAGATCTGCATACCTTCTCAGAGCCCGTAACCATTCTGAGATTTGATACTTGATAACGGTGTGTTGAATAACACGTTCCAAACATTAATGGTTATAACTGCAAAGAATGTGGTTATACAGATAACACTATTTTTAAGTTCAGATAAATTTGATTTAATATGATAAACTTTACAATAAACTTTACGCACCTATTCTGTGCACTTGACAGATTTGTCAAATTCTTTAATAAAATTTTTGATCTTTATATAGCAGAAAGCTTTTTAGTATTCTTGACACATCTTGACAAATTTCAAAGCTCAAGAACCTAGTGCTTCTCACCACACTATTGTGTAAAGTGTTTTGTATAGAAAACTGTTCGTAATTGTGCGTAACTGTTCGTAAAAAATGCTTGTAAAGAGCATATATTTTAAGTTGTCAAAAGCATTTTTTATGCATTTTTCATGCATTCAATTAACAATAAAAAATATGCTTGTAAAGAGCGTATATTTTAGTTAAGAATATTTGTCATGCATGCAAATAATAAAAAATGCTTAAAAAGAGCATATTTTTTATAGTTGTAAACAGCATTTGAGGTATTGACAACTAACAAGGAAAAGAGCTTTTTATTTATGTCACGGAATACCAAAACCTTTACAGCAGTCAATTTTGACAAGTGTCAATGTTTGACAAGTTTATAAAGTGCACAAAATAGGTCCGTTAATCTATATTGAAGCTTTTAAATATACTTTAATTACACAGCTTTAAATGAAACTTATGAGCATTACAAAGCTTAGTTTAGAATTAGAATAAGAATTAAAATCAGTTATTTTAGAACTATTAATTTAAATTAATAGAAAATAACTCAACATAGAAGAAATTAAATATGATGACATCCAAAACGCATACAAGAAACACCTAATCAATTGACAACATAATCAATCTTAGCATTCTATGTAAAGTACTAATATAGACACTCATCTCTGATGAAAATATATCACAACCTACAAATCAATACTCACCCTACAAATCCCTTCGATACAAACAGCTTTCCGTCGATATGCATGTGTATAATAAACCGCTGGTTTCTCGCAAGGCGTTCCATCGGTAACTGAGCGATTCATACTAATGAAGTTTTCGGAATCAATAGGACGACAGAATAATTCACACTCGTTGTGCTCTTTCTCGTATCCAATCCAATTAAAGAACTTGCCTTTATATGAGATTGTATTGAAATCAGAACATTGTTCATCTCTAAATTGATTGTTCGTTAATTTACACTTCTCATCTTTGCACATTCGATACTTTTTCGTTAAACCAAAGCAACCTTGCTGTCCATTTAAATCTGGATAAAATGCATTTTCAATGGGATTTTCTGAAGAGGAATTCTGTATACTAAAAATAAGAACATATGTATTTTCAAATAAACTTAAGATAAAAATTTATTTAATTCATATAGACCTTTGTATACATTTTCTTTTTTTGATCTGCACACAAGAATTAGTGCATTTACTCCATTTATCCCACTTGGACCAGCTGTAGGTAATGCCAATACGTCTAATTATGGCAATATTTCGTTGATGCGATTGCTTGGCACCCTCATTTTCATCAATATAATCATTGTAATCGTCTTCGTTGTCATCTGTTATAGCAGATTTTAAAAATGTTTTCGAAAGTTTTTTTGATTTTGTTGAAGTATTCAAAATTTTGTCGATGTTGGTAGTTGATACATATCTTAATTCAGTATTCGCATAAAAAAGACACACGACAAAGATGAAAAGTCTATGGAATGTGTATAAGAAAATATAGATGAGTGTGATTAAAATGCAGAGTATTCTGGAGTTTTCTGGATTTTATTTTCATAGTAATAAATAGTAATAAAATAAATACCTATAATACAGCTTATTAATATTCAGAATAAATAATAATCTGATAGTGCTATGTTAAGTATATATAGTGAATACATCAAAACATCGCTATCAGTTGACAAATTTTTGCCAAAATTTGAAAAATATATATGCATACGTTATCAGGATGAAAAACTATTCTACTTCTCTATACCAGTAAGAACTCGAACCAATCGATAGTGGGGACTTATATGACAGTTAATTGTCAAATGGCATTTCACCTGAAATATCTCTTGTATTTACTATGCAAGAGGTATTTATTTCAATTCTAATATTTTCACCAGCAATGAATTTAACTGTCGGTTATCTAACTAAAGAAAGAACTATTGGACATACCTATCGTATTAAAAGTTTACGTACCATAAGATCAATTGAACAGAAAAATGCATAATAATTTCTGCCAAGATTAATATTGTCTTTTAGAGCAGTTTTCAAACTCTTACTATCTTTGTATTATATTTACACTCTCAGAATATCATTTAAGGTATTATGTTCCATAACAACTTTTTAAGTGTTTCTAAACCAGTTGCTATTGCATTTGCTATATCTGTAAAATTTCTGGATATGAATCTATACGCCAAACTGAGATGGAAAATACAGGTCAATAAAAAACTAAGTGAGCTGAATGTAAAATCCCAAACACTATCTTGGCTTATGAGAAGGAGATCTGAAGTATCTCAGTAAAACAAACTCATGATATACAAATAAATTTTTAAACCCATATAGCTTTGTGGCATTTAAAATTGAGGTTGTGTAAAAAATTATACAATAGATATGAAACAAAAGTTCCAAAATAAAGCACTCAGGGATGCAGTTAAAGCTCTATGGTATATGTAATATGTTGACCTGCATTATGTCCTTAAAATATCTACAGTCAGGCAAGAAATACAAAGGCAATACGCATTATGACGAGATGAGTCAACACTTAGCACTATTCCGGCGTTACTTTGCGATGTTACACGCAGACGCTCCAAGGACCTTTTTAGGCGTTTCAACCAGGAAAGGGATGACTAGCTTAAAACTAGATGCTCACTTTAGATAAGTAATATTACTTGTAATATTAAATTTATAAACCTCTTGTTGTTTGTTTAAATAAAAAAAATAAAAAAATATATGTAGTGTTACACCTTTGTAATATATGTATGCAAACTATTTTGGCACTATTCGAACTATATTTATGTACATATGTCTACTTTCTATATGCACTGTGTGAAATTTGACCTGAAGGTGTGATAGAACATTTTTTAAAAATGATGAAGTTGTAACAGAAACAACAACTCTAATAACTACTGTCACATAATCACCAATTTTTTTTTTGCATTAAATTGAAGATGTGAAAATAAAGCCCAGCCGTAAGGCAGTGGGGATGGACCAGCCGTTGTTCCGGTGGTGCAACCGCAATTCACACATCAACACAAGTTTTACTTGAAAGCAAATGTTCGAATAAAGTCTGTGTAGCTTTCTTTTACTCGATAATTTGCTGGTGGAACGCACTTGTGTACACACAGAGTTACTCAAAGTCACTACGAGTAGCTCGTGGAATAGACCAAATATAAAGTGAAAGATAGTTTTTATCTCTTGTGCAAAACCACAACTTCGACAAAAGTTGTTACTGGTGAAACCAAGTCTCTTTGCTTGTCTTTCTGACACACAGTGATCTATCACTACTAATACCGTAGTATGTTCTAAGTAGTAAGTTTCACCTTTGTTGATGTAGCTGACTATTACTAGTATGTGCGAGCAAGTTATCGAACATTAGGTCGAAAGAATCCAGTACTGTAAGAAGTGTCGTAAGCAATATTTGAATGATTTTGAATTTCAGATATAGCGACATGTTCCATACAATATATTGAAATAACAGTTTGATCTAAATCTTAATTACAAAATGGATAGATCTGTAATAAATACTCTTTATTATTATCATTTAAATAGTTTATTGCTTCTTGTATTGTACTTTATTTTGTTTCAGATTTGTGTATTTCCAAATCGTAAGTAGAAGATTAAAGAGCATTCAGTTATTTTTAACTAGATATATGTAAATTCTTTAAATTATTTTATTAGCCAGGGTTTTATTAATTATACATATATGCATAAATAGAAACGAGTACATAAATCTAAACGTATCTTTGCTATGTAATCTGAAGCAAAGTGTCTTCTTGCAGAATTAATATACATTAGTAAGTCTGTTTTATTTAAATTTTCGATAATAAAATTGTTATGCTCTAATTACCCCTCAGTTGTTTAATTTTAAAAAATCTAAAACAAAACAGAAACTGACTTTCTCAGTTCGTAAATTACACCAACAAACGCGTTAAGAGTAATTACAGTCCCATTAGTGGGTGCGTACTGGTAACAACTATCGAATCAAACTGAAATCATGATATCACCTCAAGTGTACATCAGAAAAGAACAAAACAAATTATTTGGTATTAAACAAAATAATAATTTGATGTTTTTTTTTTGTTTGTTGAATAATTATTAAATTTTGATAGCTCAATTTTAACACAACTCCGAATCACAATATTATCCATATATTAAGAAAAAGACAAGGAAGTTGTTTCAGATCACTAATGATAATTGTTTTAATCCCGATGTAGTCAGGGGACTGATGAATTATACTTTTATTAAACAAAAAGATTTCTTCCTACTTAATTAAATCAAATTTTTATGATATAATTTTTATATTAAGACAAAATAAATCTACGAAGGCAGAATATAATTGTATCTATAAAATCCACAATTAGGTAAATATGACTAATATGATCTAAAGATAGTTTTTAAAAAAGAACAAAATTTGATAAAGCATTTTATGCCAAATATTAACTAATGCCATCAAATATATCTACCTATATCTATTTATAGATATAGCTACATGAAATATAACGACTACAAAGCTATATTAAATCTATATGACTCTAAGCTACAAATTTAGCAGGACCCGAGTTCGATTCCTGGTACTTGCATTTACGATTTATTAAATACAAGAACTATTTCTAAGACCACTGATGATGGGTATTTGACAATATTCGAAACATCTGCATGGATGGTCAGCCAAAAATTCAATTAATTAAAATAATATAAATTGGATTTTTTGTTGTTCTAGTTCACTACTGTTCTAAAAACCTCTTTATTAAATCTATATTAAAATTATATTATCTTCAATATAATACCATTTTTAATAGTATTTTGTAAGTTTGAATTCCTGATCGGAAAAGGTTTATCATAAGAACTCTTTCAGAAAAAGAAAATCTGTAAGTTTAAAATATTTTCTAACTTTATATAATTTAATATTAAATTTAATTAAATTTTTGTTGTTGTTTCACTTCTGTTCGAAAACCTCTTTATGTAAATATAACAAGTTTCTATTAAAACTATAATAGTCACTTTCGTCTGGAAAATTTGACGTTAAATTACAACTTATTCACAAAAATATGGTTCTCGCCAATAAATATTGGTTCTCGCCCGTGCGACTAGTGGAGTAACATTAGCATGACTTTCTCAGCATTACGTTCCTAGATTAGGTTCTATACATAAGAAAGAACAAATCATGCAACAAATAATGCCTCTACGAATAGAATAGTTTTGAGATTTAACAATTAAAAATAAAAAATATAATTAATTAATTAATTCAATTATTCTACAGCTGGTTTATGATTTCGTTCTAATATATAAATACAGCAAGTAAAATTGTTAATATTTTTATTATTGTTATTTTAAAAAAATAAATTTTTGTTGTTGTTTCATTTCTGTTCGAAAACCTCTTTATGTAAATATAACAAGTTTCTATTAAAACTATAATAGTCACTTTCGTCTGGAAAATTTGACGTTAAATTACAACTTATTCACAAAAATATGGTTCTCGCCAATAAATATTGGTTCTCGCCCGTGCGACTAGTGGAGTAACATTAGCATGACTTTCTCAGCATTACGTTCCTAGATTAGGTTCTATACATAAGAAAGAACAAATCATGCAACAAATAATGCCTCTACGAATAGAATAGTTTTGAAATTTAACAATTAAAAATAAAAAATATAATTAATTAATTAATTCAATTATTCTACAGCTGGTTTATGATTTCGTTCTAATATATAAATACAGCAAGTAAAATTGTTAATAAAAACTTTCATAGCAAAAGTAACAAAACTCCAGCAAAAATATGCGAACAAAAAAGTCAAGTACGGCTTTGGATCAGTTGGTTAAGGTGCGCTGATTCTGAGCTTCATATTTGGCAGGACCCGAGTTCGATTCCTGGTACTTGCAGTTTCAAAAATAATTATTTACGAATAAGTAAATAGAATTCTTTCCAAGACCAATGAAGATGGGTATTTGGCAATACTCGAAACAGCTGTATGGTGAGCCATAAATTCAATTAATTAAAATAATATAAAAAATAAAATTTTTGTTGTTGTATTCCACTACTGTTCGAAAAACCTCTTTATGAAATATAATAAGTTTCTATTAAAATATAATAGTCACTTTCGTCTGGAAAATTTGACGTTAAATTACAACTTATATTCACAAAATATTGGTCTCGCCCGTGCGACTACTGGAGTAACATTAGCATGACTTTCTCAGCATTACGTTCCTAGATTAGGTTCTATACCTAAGAAAGAACGAATCATGCAACAAATAATGCCTCTACAAAAAGAATAGTATTGAAATTTAACAATTAAAAATATAAAAAAAAATATATTTAATTAATTAATTTAATTATTCTACAGCTGGTTTATGATTTCGTTCTAATATAAACACAGCAAGTAAAATTGTTAATAAGAATTTTCATAGTAATAGTAGCAAAACTCCAGAAAAATATGCGAAGAAAAAAGTCAAGTACTGCTTTGGATCAGTTGGTTAAGATGCG